TTAAGAGCCAGGGCACAGAATGGCCAGGACACTTTGCCTAGAATAGTGTTGGAACATGATGTTTGAAATGATCACAGGGTCAACTTTCCAGAACAACTTTGAGGACAGAGGCTACCTTGTGGCTGGGAAAATATGTATCTATGTGTGAAGATAATGGAATACAGTTAAAAGGTTTTGCGGGCCATGGGCTAAAATTTAAAACCTTGTTTCAAAAACCTCACAGGTGAGTTCTTTTTTTTCTGTCTCATTCACTCATTTATTTGCTTATCCTTACCGAGAGTCTACTATGGGGTGGACCCGTGCTGGGCCTTGGGAACCCATCAAAGGAACTCCCTTCTCTGAAGCTACTGAGAAATACAGACACACAAACAGGGGGCCCAACAGAAATACGCTAGGTGTCATGGAGGCAAGCAGAGGGAGCACCCCATTTGGTCTGGACATGGGGAAGGCTTTCCAAAGCAGATGATGTTCAGCTGGGCTTTGAAGGGTTCTCAGGCAGACAGAGGAGCCACAAAGAGAGGCTTGCATGTTCAGCAGAGATCTCTTGATGTGTCTTGGGTAACGTGTGAAGGATGGAAGACAGCAAGAGAGAAATCATGTCACATCATGTCACTCGCTTGCTCAAATCCCCTCACTTCCCATCTCACTAAGAGTAAAAGCAAAAATTCCAACCATGAGCTAGAAAGGCCTTATCTGATTTGACCCTGGGGCTGCTGGGACCTCCTGCTGCTCCAGCCATGCTAGCCTCCTGTGGTTCTGGAGGGTCTCTGCACTCTCCCCTTCCCCTGATGGAAGGATCTGCTCCCAGATACCCACCTGGCTGGATTCTTGCTTCCTTCAGGTCTTTACTGACCAGTGAGGTGCTCCTTTGCCACTCTCCCCTCTCTCCCCTTCCCTGTTTTATTTTTCTCCCTAGCTGTTACTAGCTATATTTTGCTTCTTTATCTTTGTTTATTGTTTGTCTCCTCAAAGAAGAATGGAAGTCTATGAGGGCAGCAGCATTTGTCTGTTGCTTCACTGCTGTATTCCTGGTGCCTGCAACAGTACCTGGCATATAGTAGGTACGCAATAAATATTTGTGGAATGACTGCAGAAAAATAGTTATAAAGAACTATGTAAAATTACGGTTTCTAGGATTTATCTAGAAGGCAAAGGGAAGCCGTGGACGTTTTTAACTAGCAGGGTGAGATAACCAGGTCTGTGTTTTCTGGGATACTAACTCTGCTGGCGACAATGGTAGAATGGTGGGTGGGTGGTGGGGAGGCGGGGAGAAACTGGAAGCAGAGAGGAAAAGAAGGATTTGAGAACGGTTTTAAAGGTGAAATGACAGGTAAAAATGCATAACTCTGATTTTATGCATCAACCCCAGAAAACTGCTTTTATTTAAGTGTTTTTATTTCTCATACACAACAATCCATCAGTATGAAATCAGTTCTAATCTTGAGGTAAAGAATGCTTCTGAACCCTTGCTTGCAGAAAAGCAAGCTAGCCTGCAATGCAGAGAATGCATTCTGGTCAGGCTGTTAGCAGGGAACTGATGGAGCTCTTCCTTGGAACTGCATCCATACTTGTTACACATCTTGAAAGCAACCTTCCTCACCTGGTAAGGTGATGTAACTTTTCTCCACCACCCGCCTGTTAATCTCAGCATCGTATTTCAGTATTTTTTTCTCCTTCGGCTTCAAAGGTCTCATTCAGTTTGAGATTGTCCTCTTCCCTTCCTTTTTGTCCATTCCTCTCACACAACTTGCCAATGTTCTATCATCTCCGCCTCCCTTTGCCCTTTATTTGGTCACACCTCACATACTCCAACATAAGTTCCTTCTGGGATTGTCACTTCTGGGCCTTCTTTCACGCTGGGCAAAGATGCCTGGAAAGCTTTTATAAAACCGATTTATAAGTCACCTCCTTCTCCTGCACCTCCATCTTCACCTACCAGCCAAAGGACCTTTCTTATGTGTCAAGGAAACAGCAGGCTATTCTCAGGTATGGAAGACTCAGAAAAATGTACCACCATCTACTGTTCTCCAAAAAAGCATTACTTGAAAATATACTCTAGGCAGTCGAGACATTACTACTGCATCAAAATGCAGAATGGAAATCATGACGGACCGGGACTCAGAGTCCGTCCTGGGGTACTCGCAACAGGCACAAAGACACAACATGGGAAGTTGAGAAGTGAGCCCTCAGCGTACACTGACTGACTTGCCACACCAACAAATAGCAAGAATGCAGAGAGGAAGGTCCTTCTTTGTTTTCACAGTGACATCTGAAGGAAGCTTCGTGAAACCTCTTATTCCTTAGGAATTATTATCCTTCGTTAGGATAATAATCCTGTAACTGGAATCCCTCTGTAAAAGCTTCTCCCTCAAGGAGAATTTTCTGTTGGATTCACAAACCCAATTAAATAGGATTATAGCTATGTTAAAAAACAAAACCCAGAAAGAACCCATGAGTAGGAACAGGCCTGGGGACAATTTTTTGTGGTTTTCTTTGAATGAGGACCAGCTCATGACACCCCCAATGAGGACACAGTTCCCTGGTCACCACTGCCAACCAGCGAAGCCCCAATGCAGGCTCTCGGCCACCTTTCCAGCCACATCTCCAGGTGTGTCCCTGCACGTGGCATCTTCTCAGATTCATCCTGTGATCCCTGGAACTGTCCTCCCAGGCCTACGTGCCTTCCCACGTGCCAGACCTTGGGATGCTTTCCCACTTTCTGGGTTTGAGGAAACCCTGCTTGCCTTCCAAGGTCTGGCTTACTTGCCTTCCTTACACAGCCCCCTCTCTCCAGCACTCCTCCAGGGCTAGAGGCAGTTCTCACAGCCCACTGCAGACCAGCACTTGCTCACAGCTCTCTCTGCAGGAGCCGCTGGAGTTAGTTCTCACTTCAGACTCCTCTGCCATCCTCACAGGACTCGGCATGAAGAGTCCCTCTCAGACCTGCTGTGTGTGGATACCTGGATCAGGTGTCCCTGACCCCATTATCAGAAATGAAGATCTAGGCCCCATAGTAGGTAAAGCCAAGTAATCCATCCCTTCAGGATGACTCCCTCTATAATAAACCAGGAATAAAGAAGGCTGGTTTCTTCCTGGATTTGATGCATATTTTATCTATCTGACTGTAATGTCCACGAACACAGGGGCTAAATGTATTTACTTGCCCACTGTGCTGACAATGCCTAGCCTGAGGCAGGTACTAATCAAGGCTTGCTGAGAGTATGAAGGTCTTATTTGCAGTATTTCCTGGATAGAGGAAAATGCCTGGCACAGTTCACAGTGACTGAAGCTACGCTGAATGAATGAATCCTGGTCTAAGTGGTAAAATGAGGCCATTTTCTTTATGCTAAAAGCAAACCTGACAAAAGACTCCCTGAGAAACACGCACCTGCCTTCCTTCTCCCAGGCTCCCCCCACCCCCGCTCCACCCCTTTGTCTTGGTTTCTGTGTGAGATTCTGAGTAACAAAAAGCTGCTTTGTATTTACTGCAAGGGAAGGCTTCACAGCAACGCAAACAACATTAACCTTTCCTCCCTGACTGCATTTAACACACAGGGTGACTATAAACCTGGGGGGATCAGGAAGAAATCAGCTCAAAATTCAGACAAGAAATAAAGAAGAGACGCCTGCACATCTTCACCGTCCCAAGACCCACACATCTCCCCCTTTGAGAAGCGATTCGGAAACACCCACGCTATGCTCCATCCCCCAGGGCGGCCCTTTCTTCTGTGCCGGTTGGCGATTCCTGGAGTGTCTGCCCGTGTGTGCATGCCGGCAGCAGCAGTCACTGCAGCATCAATAAAACTGACTTACACCCGCATCTCTAAACGCCCAGTGCCGGCACTTCAGAGACCGGGAATTTGTCAATTTTGCCTCCATGTCAACCTGGCTCTCCTAGAAGTCTCAAGGCTACACCAACCCAGAATGAGATTATCTTGATGTGCCCCTCTCTGTGTTCTCTGAAGATGACCAGAAACAATCATAAAAAAGGAACAAAGGGATTACAAATTAATCTGCCTTCGCTGGCTCCTCTGACTGCAAAGATATGATTACAAACCCAGAATTTGCAGGAGACCTAAATTCCTCATTAATCTTCACTATCGTTTCTATTACTGTTTTTTTTTTTTCTTGTTTGTTTTTTTCCTTTAAGCTCCTTTCTTAGACAGAGAATGAGGGGGAGCTATGTTCTTTCTTCACTCAGCAGTAACTGAAAAATATGTCCTTAACATTTCAAAAAAGCAGATCGTCCCTGTGCTGTAACCACTAAAGCGTGGAGGTGAAATGGCATGGGTGTCCTTTATGTCACCATCTGTCGACGTTCATCAATTTAAGCATGGATAACCCAAACTCGTGCTTCCTTTGGAAAGCATCAATCTGATAATCCAGAAACATTCCAGAGTCTAAGAATTTCCGATTTCTTTACATTAGACTTGCTTTGCTATCACATGTTTTGACTGTTCAGCAACAGGCAGTGAGTGGCTCTAAATTGCACTTCGCATGTGCCTCTGCTCTCTTTGGCCATCTGGAGCTGGGTCCTGCGGAGAGAACAGGTCCTGGCATGTTCCTCCCAGGCTCACTCCATGGGTCAGTGCTACAGTGTAATCAAAAAGCAGTGGGGCTTTTCTCCTTCTCTTTCCCAGACATGTCCGCAAACTCCATTTGGGCAGAGGCACTGCCAGTGACATTTCTGCTCTGGGAACCACAGACACATACTCCTACTGAGACAGGAGGGATTCTATGAACTGGAAGGGGACTGAAGCATTTAGACCAGCTGCTACTTACATTAATCCTGACACACAGTTCATGGTGGCTGCTTGTCTACATACATGGTGGCTCCCAGTTCTGCTTTTCTCTGGCTGAATACCTGGCCGTGTTCTTCAAACTCAAGCTCAGCAGAAAGCTGAGGATGGGGCTTAGAAAGCAAAGTGGATGAAGTTTCCCCAAATGGTGTCAAAAAAGCCTCCAATCCCAGGCCCACGTCTGCGAGGCCCTGCTCTTACCTGGGTATGGCACTCTTCCTTTGGTGACCAGCTCTGTGAGTAAGATTCCAAAAGACCACACGTCAGACTTGATTGTGAACCTCCCGTACAGGGCTGCCTCGGGGGCCGTCCACTTGATGGGGAATTTTGCACCTGCAGAACGAACACCTGGTTATTCATCAGGCAGAGGGCGCTGCACTGGGCATGGGGTGTGCGAGGGAAAGGCACGTGCAAAAACTACTTTCATGAGAGCAGGTTTAGAGGGGAGGACAGAAAGGAGGTGAAGCAGGAATGGGCTGGGATTGGGAAGATGTAGGGTCTGGTCTTTGCTGTGTGACCCTAAGGAATCCAGCTCAAAGCACCTTAATACCTCAATAAAGGGGGGAAGAAGCCCTGGTTTCTTGTGATTTAGGAAACTTATATATATATTTAACTTTGAAATAATGCTATGTTTTAATACACACAGACAGGATTTAGTCATAATGCTGCTCTCATGAGTCCTCTGGTATGTAAGATAGTGTGGTCTCACCAGGTACACAAAACCAGATGAAGACACAGAGCGGCTCCCAGGGTGGGGACAACTGGATGCAGCCCATGTGTTCTGCTGAAATGGGTTAGATTTCCCAAAGGCCTCCCACACCCACAGCAGGGAAAGGAATCTGCCTCCAGCTCCTTCTCTCTCCACATTTGCTGTCTTTCCTCCATTCTTTCTCCCTGTAGCGGCCATCTTTACTCCTGGGATACTTTTTTCTTCTATACTGTAAGATCACTTTCTTTTTTTTTTTTTTTTTTTTTTTTTTTTTTTTTTTTTTTTTTTTTTTTTTTTTTTTTTTTTTTTTTTTTTTCTTTCTATTACTGTAAGATCACTTTCTTACCACCTTTTCTTCCACCATCCAGAAAGAGTACTATTTAATGTTTGTGTTTTAAAGAGCAGTTTTGCCTCCATGACTGTCTTATGAGTCTCTGACTTTTCAAGACCAAGGTGCAAATTCATGTCAGTCAGTGGAGTAATTTTTATTCAAAAATTTAACTGATCATTAAAATAATCTTCTCTCTAAACCAAAAGGAAGGGTGTGGTCCACCTTGCTTTCTACAAGCTTGATGTGTGTGCAGGGAATTAAAAGGGATTCAGGCCAGGTGCAGTGGCTCACGCCTGTAATGCCGGCACCTTAGGAGGCAGAGGCGGGCCAATCATTTGAGGTCAGGAGTTCGAGACCAGCCTGGCCAACATGGTGAAACCTTGTCTCTACTAAAAATGCAAAAATTAGCCAGGTGTGGTGGCACGAGCCTGTAGTCCCAGCTACCCAGGAGGCTGAGGCAGGAGAATCACTTGAACCCCGGAGGCAGAGGTTGAAGTGAACCGAGATCACGCCACTGCACTCCAGCCTAGGTGACAGAGCAACAGTCTGTCTCAGAAAAAAATAAAATAAAATAAAATAAAATAAAATAAAATAAAAGGGATTTAGCAGCTTGTGCTCTCAAACATTTATAAAGCAATTATAAAGCAGTTCCAGGTATTTTACTGAACAAACTAAAAGAAAAACACAAGGAATTTTTATTACTTATGGAAACACAACTACATGTTTAAAGCATGTTCATTTTACTTAAGGAGCTCCTAAAAATCATACAAAGGCTGACAAAATCAGAATGTTTCATACAATCTTCTATAAAAAGTCATTATGTACAAAAGTGGCAAATGATTAAAATATTTAAATTGGCACAGTTTTAATAGCCAGAGGTATGATAAATTACAGCAATTAGATTTTTGTCTTAAATATAGCATATGATAACATCTTTAGTAAATCTACCCTGGCATTTTCAGGCAATATAATTTTCCTCTCCATCTCTCATGTGTCTGTGTGAAATGAAATGAAAAAAAAAAAATCCTACTATTTCATTATGAGGCATCTCACATTAACACTGGAGCAGAAAAGTTATTCTATAGTTTTCCTTTTATGCATAGAGTTATTTTTAATTAGTTATGTTTCTCAGGCATAATTATTTATATCTTTCCTTACGTGCTAGATGATTCCACATAAGACCTGGTATTCTCTGAATAGTCGTTTTGTTTTTAAAGTTTCTTTCAAAGCATTCTTCTCACACTTCCTATCCTTGAGTATTCTGTTCACGCAGCTTTGGACTCTGAGCCACTGGGATTAATGTGATAGATTTTCTTCAGTGTTGAGAGCAGACTGTGCCCTGGACCAAACCTCAGCTGGAGTTCTCTTACTTCAGAGAATTAAAGGTATACTACATTCATTCCTATTTAAACCATCTCTTGAGCCAAATGGCTTGGAAATCTCTGACCGTCTCTGAAGTAAATGGAACATTTTTCTCTGCTGTGCAGACAAATCCTGTAAATAAAATGACAACCAAAGGAGTTGTTTTTCCCCTTCTTTGAATCACTCGACATTGGCGAAGGTGTGTGTGTTGCTGAAAGCGACTATTTAAAATCTGGATACAGTCATGTTAGATTTTCCAAGTGATTTCATAATTTCAGATTAAAAAAACAACGGCAATTTCAGCCAGTTGCATTAGTCCGCTTTATTGTTTTCTCATTGTATAATCTACAATAAGGATTATAATATATAAACCTTCAAAAAATGTTAAAACAAAGGCTGCAAAATGTAAGGAATCTTTGAAAGGAAGTCATTTGTAGATATGTGGTCTGACTACTAAGCTTACTTAAATTTGTTTTGTGTTAATTTTCTTTCTAAGACAAGCAATATATTTATACCAAACAATGTATTTATAATGTATTTGGAGGAATAAAAAATAATGTATTTGTCCAACTTCTCCTGCTTCTTCTCTGTCTTAAAATAGCAGTCACTTTAGACAAAATAAGCTTCTTTATAGATAACTCATTTTCCTTTTCAAGGAAGACAAAAGGTTAAATCAAAGCAGCAATAAGGTATTAATGATTAACTGTGGTTTCTACTGAAAAGAGCTAATCCCTGCTTCCTCTTCCACACATCTCATTACTTCTGTTTCCCCTTATCCTGGCTTCCCATCTCCTGAGGGTACAAAGCTATTGGCCCTAAAATGCAGCTGTAAATGTGGAGGAGTTAACTGGGGATTTTTGGCAGGTGTCTTTACAACTAACCGTGCAGGTTGCACAGTGTAAAACCCCAGTCTATGAAAGCAGCATCCCTAAGGTTGTGTAGTACATAACCTATACAATCCCACAGGTGTCCCTGCTGCAGGGCTGCTGCAGTGGGCTCCGTAAGTTAGGAGACTTCAGACACCTTGAAGGAAGGATCTCCTGGGTGTAAATGTTGTCTTTCCCTTGAAAGTAAAGTTCTGACAGGCAAAAAGTCAGAATCAAAGTGGTCTTCTAAGTAGTATGGACTTACAGAACAATGGAGAAAACATCAGAACTGCAATGCAGTTAACTTGGTATTGTTATGTAACTAGCTGATTCACTCTTTGAAATTCTTCTGCTTGGGAGCAGGATTTAGATATGAAAACAGTTTTCTCCCCTTCACATTTTATTTAGAGGGAACAGAGCAAACTATACAGGTAATGATCATCTATGCCACTGTTATCTTGAGCTTTACTGTAACACTTAGTGTGTCTGTTCCATGTTTACATGAATTCAAAAAAAGAAGTGACCACTCTGTCATTTCTTACTGAATTAGCTTAACAGTTTAGGATTCTTTAGGATTCTTTTAAGCCAATACACAAAGGCCATAATATGTGTGCGTGTGTGTGTGGTGTGTGCACTTGGAAGCATCTTTTCCACTGAATGTTTTCCAGGTACTATTTGCAAATATTACCAAACTCCCAAGCCATTGCTGAAACCTTGACTTGTCATGGTGAAAACTTGACAACCTGGTGTTGTCACTGGGGCCCACGTCCTAGAACTTCCACGTAAGAGGATCTTTGTAGCTTAGTCATTTAACTCCCAGGAACATATATAAGACCAGTTAGCCTTAGGCTGAAGCATTCCTGTGATGAATAAATATGTCGATATTTTAAATGACTTCTGATATACAGCTCAATCCTATTTCTCTGAATTCTGTTGAGAAACAAAATGAGTGATCACAAACTCTGTGTAACATCAGGGGTCTTATTCACTCCCGTGGCTCCAATGACTATCTTGAACCCAATGATGCCTGCATTTATATCACCAGATGGGACCTCTCTCTTGAGTCCTTGACTTGCATAACCAGTTTCCCTCTCAATTGTCTCTCCATCATCACAATGGATTTCTCTCTAATGGATGTCTCTCCATCATCACAATGGAGAGACAATTGAGAAGGAAATTGGTTATACAAGTCAGCGCCCCTCAAATGCAATATCCACAATTTATCTTCCCCACAATTTGGCTTCTCAATCCTTGGTGACTTTGTAAACCACCCAGTTGGTGATAACAGAATCCTGAGACTCATCCTTGCCTGGACACTCTATTTTTCATTATTGTGCACTCGGATCCCAGCACAGGGCCCCTATTGAAGGAGGTCAATACATCTTTACTGAATGATCTCTGTGCCCTCATGGGCTTTGTCCATGCCCGTGTCAGGTCCATTACATCCTGACCATTTCATACTCTTGAATTCACTACCCTTCCTCTAGTCCTCACTTGCTCAGCATGCCCACCCTGGGTTTCTACAGTAGCCTTCTAATATAATCCATATACATAATCTGGTACCTACCTACTTCCCCAGCTGCTTCTTATCATCCCAGATGTGTTCTCCTCTGCTCCCCTCCTCTCTCCTCTACAACCTCTCCACTGCCCTTCTTTGACTGCTTTGCAAATGCCAGGCTCCTACCTGCTTCAGGGACAGGCTATTTCCTTTGTCAAAAGTCCTTACCCCATTGCTAATTCTTACTCCTCTTTTGCTCCTAGCCAAAGAATTACTTGCACAGGGAACCTTTGCCTGATCATTAAAGACTGGGGTAGGTTTCCTACTTCTATGCTGCCAGAGCACCTCCCTCTTTGTAGTTGTCACTATTTTTTTTCAGTAAATATTGCCTAATGAAGCTGTTATTATTAAAGTGCAATGAATGCATGAATTGTCTGAAGGCTGTCTCTGTCCACAGATACATACTGTGCTTGAGTGCTGGAGCATGTCTTCCCGGATGGCCAGCACATCTCCAGTACTGAGTACAGTGTCTGGTGCAGAGAAAGCACTTGATAAACAGGTGCTGAA